GTTGTCTTGCAGACCACACGGTATGAGACTCATCGCATCTGCTCATCCGTTCAAATTAAACCACCCCGTAGACGACGACTGCGAGACAAAGAAAAAACAGGCCGTTCGGGTTTCCGAGGAAGTAAGTTCCATTAGATATGTGGAAGACTTTGTAGGGCTCTCAATGAAATTCCTTTACACCACTTTTTCTTGCTTCCTATATTTTCATTTATTTACGATCTTCTATAAACCGATTTGTGAGGATCTTTTGCAGCAAATCGTCCATGTACTGTGTATTAGATGTCAACTAATCCATTTTAGTCTATTAAGCAAATCTCGACGCTGGGTATAAGCGATTCGAACTGTTTACATGAAAAACTGAGGAACACTCGGCACAGTTTTGAAGTTCATTAGCAACCTACCTGCGTAACTGCTAGCCTTATGAATCATAAAAAAAAAGTAATTTCGCCCAGCGTATTCTCTTCATTCGCGGTTTTGGAGGCGACAGAAGTTGAAGGAAGCTCTTGATAGCATCCGATACAGAGATATAGAGCTAAACGGTGAAAGGAATGAGGTTAATATGCTCTTCTTCTCAGGATTTGGTCGATCCACGAATAATTCACGCTGTCACGCAGTTCTCAAGACCATCGGCGTCTTTCGTTCTTTGCGAGAAAAATTACCTCTATTGCGGAAACGTGCTGTGGAGAGCAGCTCAGCAAGATGGTTTCCATTTCAATTTCCTTCTCCGATTCCAAATTCCACACAACGTGTTCGCTTTCAATGCCTTTTGCTAACCTGGTGCTGATGTACGCGACAACAAATTTGTTGAAGGACATTTCGTTGTGGATTACCAGGCGATAGTATTATCCATCTATTCCGCTTTCGATCAGCAGCACAGATTACAGGCGACATATGTCTTCTCGCGTGAGTAGAAAGGAAGGATAACCGGGCGAATGATAGGATCTCGTGGTATGTGACAACTTGTGCAGTGGATGGGTGTAAAACAAAGCCTGTGCCACTGACACTTCGCTATAGGATCCCTCCACGGTTCTCAACGATTGATTAGCCTGTTTTATTTCTTTCTCGTCGTCTTCAAAATGATTAGGTTGCATTTGATATGATTTGTTCCTTTTAGGAGACCGTGAAGATTGGTAGCAAAAGAGTGGCTTCTAGTGGGATAGAGATACAGTTATAAGGGAAGGACATGGTTTGTGGTGTCGATCATGAGGCACTTGTCGTGCATTCTACTTCATCAGGCTTCCTATAGGATGGATATCTCGCCTACATAGTGATTTCGAGTGAAACATCGACCTATTGTGTCAGTGTTTTCCTCTCCTAGACAACTATGGTAGCAATCTGCCGATACCTCAAAGATAGAAAGCTTGCTCAGTCTGGGATTCAGGAACGAACCAGCGATCGACGCATTGTGCACTGCAGGGCACGTTTAACAGCTGCATTACATGTGCCTTTGTATTCTAGTCAAGAAATAGTAGTGTCTGAAGGATCTACCTTAATGTGGTCTCGGTGATGCTCTTCGTTTCTCTTTAGCTGGAGTTCTGATCGTCAATCATATGTTGTCGTAGTGTCCAAGTTCGTAGGCCCAGTGCCCAGTATGCAGCGTACCAAGGATGTTATGTTTCTAGATAAAGGATTTCTTTGCTGAGAGTCCTGTAGTTCTGCCATGGCTTTCTCAAATCGATACCACTTGTAGTCATTGGCTATTCTGAATCAAAACGAGATTTTCTATCTTGCAAATAGCCTGTCTCCAAAACATCGGCAATTTTTGGCGTTCTATTACATGAAGCTGCGTTCCCAATCGGTCAAACTCGTTCTCCGCTTCGGTGACCACCACCCTGACATATACAGCTGTCCGAATCCAAAAAAAGTCTCAATCATTATCAGGCAGATGATCAACCACATTGGAGAATGTATTATTTCAACCAAGCGTTTCTTCAATGAACGAAACCCATTGGAATTGCAAGAATAAAGGATGTAGCTCTCAGCGTTGATCAACCCCGGAGGGATAGAGGGCTTGGTGGGCCATGGGCGCGGTGACAGCTTCCACGTGTTTCGCGGTGGCGCCTCCAACCACTGCGCCACGCGCGCCCTTTTTTGGGATTGTAAGGTGTTATACAAATAGGATACCATCGAAATAAAACGTCGTTGACATGATTCGTATAATCTCTGCAGCTTTTTTTTAGAGGTTCTTGTCCAATTTTGCTTTCCAAATAAAAAAATGCTTATGCAGAATTTTAGATTTTCTACAATGTACAAATTTATAACAGAGTAATGTCTTTCGCAACGTAAGAAGAAATCAACGAGGAAGAAAGGTTTCCTTTTCACTAGCGACATTTTTCTATAATTCTATAGTGTTTTAAAGTTTACCCCTTCATCATGGCTGGGAGTTGTTCATGGATGTTGGGCTGCGATATACAGTGAGGGGGATCCATCCGCATAGCAGGGTCTCCCAAGCTGAGTCCGGCGTTTCCACCAGGAAACCCAGCCAGACGTGGGCCAATACCAGAATCCACCAGCGTCCTGGTATCAAACTAGTAGCATATTGGCAAATTTTCCTCTAATCAACAAGGGCGGCGTCTGCTTGTGGTGGTGGTGAGGGGGCAGACTTTAGCTAAGCTAACCTCGGGACTCCAGCACACCGCAATGGCTAAACCTGCAAATCTCAGAAGAATAGAGCCCGCACAACCAGTGAAGACGGGCCATCCAAGTATCTAAACAAGTAAGTGTTTTAAAAGGGGTGGGAAGCAGTGCAGTGGTAAGTGATGTCGTCGATTAGGAAGCAAAGGCCCTAGTTCGATCCCCTTCTCAACGCTCTTCACAAGTCCACGTTGGAACACCTTGACCCGGCATCTCCAAGAATGCAAACAGAATCGACTCGACCAGCATTCTCCATTCATAAAGAAGATTGGATCCTCAAGTAGCAGCTGAAACAACAAGCGAAATGTGCGACGACGACTGTGAACGATGAATGCGAGGGAAACGAATCGAATGCAAGAACTGCTGGGATCCGCACAGTATGTGATAACGGGTCATGTAAAAATTAGAAAAAAGTGCACTTTAAGATCTAAGAAATAATGCACTGTCTAGGAAACAAAAATATTATGTCTAGAAAAACAATATTATGGGCTGGATTGATATTCGACATGACGATTTCATTCAGGCGTTGCTATGGATACTTCCATTTGCTGCTTCATTGCTACAAACTATTACCAGAACAGATAGCAAAACGGTCCTTAAAGCAACAGAATAACTGTGAATATACTGATAATAATCCACTGATTACCTACCCCCTCGTTCTTTTATCTGTGTTAAGGAAGATTTCGATCGATCTCCCATAAACTTTCAAATTCACCTCACTGCTTGCGCATGTTATTCCTTTGCTAGCAAACCGTTCGCAATTATAAAGGGCAAATAACCTCCCTACTTGTATGTTTTAATCGATTATTCCCCGACATCGCCACTGAGATATATTTTGATGAATCCGTTCATTCAAACTAAGTCTTAATTTTTGAGATCTATGCCTTCAGTATGGGGCGCGTGTAGCGCAGCGGCCGGAAGGACCCTGCAAACACATGGGATCGATCGCCGCGCCAAGATCTCACAGAGCCTCCTTTTCTGAGGTCGGCAAATCGGTACCGGACCTGTATGGAAGGATAGCAGCACTGGCTGGATACATCGGTAGGCTACCACGAGTCATTGTAAAGGCCAGATATGCATTCAATCACCTCTAACGACGCCTAATGATGTAGAATGTATGGCGCATCCGCTAACCATGAGGTTTCATGTATTGAAGGTCTCATTTCAGATATCGCTATAAATAGAACATTCCTTAACTGGCAAAATACAGATCACTTCTTTGTTGCTGTCCACATATGACATTTAGGACTTCTCATTCTCCTTCGAACGACGATAGTTCCAGCCTAATGAACTATAATTTCGTCTCCACTACGTTGTAGGAATACACTGAACGGATTCGCTAAACGAATACCAGTTAACCTAAAACTCCCATGAATATGTGCGAAGTAGGAGCACCTTCTATGAAATTTGATTCTACAGTTCATCCAGAATTCATCTACATTACCATATTACCGTCGATTAGTACCACTATCGACTTCATTCATCTTTGTCATAATCCCAAATAGGACAGATGCCTAACCACCACTTATTGTACTTGAGGTATCAATCACAAGATAATGGTGGAGTACTTAGTCTTCCGGATCTTCCTTAAGAATTCTGACCACAAGCACTGCTGATCGTCTAGTATTTAGCTATGTCCGGTCGTTTCAGTGCCGGGTGACTTCGGTTGTACGACCTTACACCTTTACTATACAGTACTGTATAACTCATGGTTTGCTTTGTCGTTAGAGTATACCAATAGTTCGGAATCTTTAAGTACACCCTTAACCACAATGTTGTAAAGCTCACCGATTGCTCTTATTCCGCGAAGACGACTATCCGACAAGAGTCTATGGCAAAAACAAAAATGTTGAAGCAGACTCCAAAAGGAATACCCTACGACGGATGGATGTGCTTTACTACAATTAGCTCACGCAATTCTATGAAGGGCTACTCTAAGCTGAACATGTCTTCCAATATAAGAAATTGGGTCCGGAGTCTTTTCCACATTAGGACCGGCTCAACGGACTGGGTGTTCCGTTCGTCTATGTTTCTTTGGATTTCAAACGTAATGAAAAGAGTGCCTCCTGTCAGGCCGGATACTCACAGTTTTAAAGAGTAGTTATGCGAAGATAAAACCACGTATAAAAAGTATTGGCAAATGTGTACTGATTTACAGAGAAAGTTTATCGTTAATGGTATTGAATAAATACAAGAACACGTTATTATGGCGAACTTCCCAAATATAAGAAGTGAAACTGATGCACAGCTGGAATCACAGGAGCATAAAATATTGATTAGCTTTAAGCACTTGTGGCTACAAGTCTTAAGTGAAAGGTAGCAGTTGCAGAAGCAGTTACACAAATTCGCAGCAACTTCTAGAACGATCACTGCTCATCTTTGTCTTTGGTACCATGTTTCAACATACGTGTAAACTCCACGTAATCAAAGTATCCATTCTTGATGGGAGCATCACGGAATAACTCATCGACCTAAAACAAGTACTAAAATAGCAGCGTTTACTATAAACCATGGCAATGGCAAACGATTTAACATTTTATTCCACTACAACCACTTCCTTCTTCAGGTCCGAAAGGTCGTCCATAAGGTCTCCCGTTTTAAGAGCCACTGTATTTGTTAAAACACTTTAATGAAGGCGTATTTTTGGAGCGTACTTTAAAAATACCACTCTATTTTCTTTTCCTTTTAAACCTGAAAGTCGTGTAACCAAAAGACTGTAACGGAGTTTAAAAGCAATATACACTAAAGTAAATAGCTAAAAAGTTCTAACATATATTAGGTCAAAAAAGTGTGCGAGAAAGCAAAACAATAAATAGAAGGAAAGAAAGGAAATTACAAAAAGCACTAAAAGGTAAGGTTGGAAGTTGGAAGGTAAAGTTATGTTCAAAAATGTGGAATGCTCGCTATCGACAACTAAACAGGTCTGCTGCTGGTTGTAAGAGATCAGAAATTTTAGATCTCAAGAAATTTGGCATATATTATAACATAATCTCTTAAAATCAAAAGATATCCGACACATGTCAACGTTTTAAAAAACAATGCCAAAAAGCAAGTAACTAGGATCGCAATCGTTGAAACAATATTTTCCAAACCGACCGTCATTTAAGCCAGGCAGTGATGGTCAATGCTTTCTTGGATCGTTAAGCTAACACGAGGAGGTGCTTTGCTACTCATGCGTGCTAACATAATATCGCCTGCTGCAGGGTGAATTGTCCGTTGAATAACAAATTGTTATCAACGGATTTTAGATCGCATATGGTGTGATGATTAACATCTTAGCCCCCGAAAAAGGTAATAGCGTGTTCGGTCCCCATCGCAGACACCAGCGGTCTGGAGTTTCTGCAAATTTCTCAGCATCATTATGGTTATATTTCACATAATACCCTCCCGTCAAAAAAGAGTAGGAAGTAAATAAAAAGTGATGGCACTAAAACGAATAATCATATCAATAACAACCGTCCTGTATAAAAGAGCGCCGCCGGGTGACTGCCTCATTCGAGTAGTGCTCCAATGAAGAAGACCCGATTCGGTACAACAATGAAGATTCTACATCGAGAAGACGAACAACTTTGGATCATCGAGTCGAACCAACGGGTATAATGAAGACCAAGACGTCGAAACGTTAGCCGAATAAACATCTTTGTCCACCTTTTGTTAACAGTCCAAGAAGGTGTAAATTGTTGAGCTATAAACAATAGCCTCCGAACGGTTTCCCGCTTCATCGCTGAGAGCTGCTCTTGGGAGTCGGGCTGCTATGTACAGCGGAGAGATTCATCCCTCTGGTGGAGCCTCCCAAGCTGAGTCCGGCGTTTTCATCAAGAAGCCTAGCTAAGAGTAAACCAATACCAGAATCCAGCACCGTCCTGGTATCAAAGTCGCATGGTAGCAAATCTCCTGATCCACAAGGACTGCCACTGCCTGTTGTGGTGAAGACCTGAGGCAGACTTCCGCCAAGCTGACCTCGGAATTCCAGCGAACTACAATGGCTTAACCATCAAATCCCCAAAAAATGCAGATTGTGCTGGGATCCGCACAACCATTGAGAACGGGCCATTCAAGTAATTATCAAGTAAATAAACAATAGAGAAACGCAATGGTGAAGAACTAGCTTAATTTTTTGACTTTGTACTCTTCCTAGCGCTCCCTTTCGCAGCAAAGACGTGAACCCACATTTCAGTGACACACCAACCAATGAATGCTCGAACGATGTTTTTTAATGTTCAATCGAAACCTACAGCATATAGCTGGAATGCGAATTTTCGATCTTTGGAACCCATACTATCTCTGATCCAGGAGAATATACATCAACGGCAAAGCATAAATATCCAGTTCGTACACTACGAACAAAAAGTGGTATACAGTCAGAAAGAACTGAGGAGTAGACTTCAAGAGGATGCAAACATCCTCATGACCGACCACCTAAATGATGGAGTGGACTTATTTGTGACTTACGTCAGACGTTACTGTGTTCAAAGCGGACCACTATGGACGCGACGACGCGAACGAATGGATATGTTCGGCCCTGCACTACTTGTGAAGGCGGACCATCCAGGTAAGCAGGTAAGTAATAGCAAACAAAAGGGATCAAAAAACAACCTCAAGAGTAAGCCTGGAGTTAGAGTAAATGCAATGTGAAACAAGAACAAGAATGGAATTGCTGACAGAGAAAATGAATGAAGTTGATAAAAACGTTATAGGGATATCAAGCTGTAATGCAGTACTCCAAATAAACTCTCGAAGAAACCGAACGTAGTGAAGACAGTGCTACTGTTAAGATGATTTCAGGTTGACCTGTTCGTGGGTGTACCTATCACCCATTGTGGTGAGAAGTTCACGAAGTCGATCCTCGCTTAATTTACCCGAATTATCCTCGTCAAAACACTGGAAAGCGTTGCGAATGACTTCTTCTGGATCAGTACCTAGAAATTCAAAACACAGACAAGCCTAGTTATCCACACTAGAGGTTAAGCAGAAAAATGATTTCTTACCGGTCAACTTTTCTCCAAAAAGAGTCAAGAACATGGTAAAATTGATAGCGCCAGGCGCCTCATTTATCATTGCGTCAAGAAACTGCTCATTTACATCCTTGCCTTAATTTAAATTGTTGTTTGAAAACAAGAAAGTGGGCAAAAAAATATACTCAAGTACCCAGAGACGCAAACATTTCCTGGAGGTCAGCCTGATCAATGAAACCGTCTCTATTCTGGTCAATCATGTTAAACGCCTCCTTGAACTCCTTGAAAAAGAATTACTTTTGTCAAAGCAAAGAGTTTCGAACAAATAATGCAAGAGTAAACATGAAAGCATAGGAATTAGAATGCCGTGAATCTTACCTGAATCTGCGCCTGATCGAACATGGCGAAAACGTTCGACGTGGCCCGTTGAGGTCGCTGGCGACGATTCACCGTCTTTCGCGATGCCATTTCCACTGTACTGCAATTACCAAGGACCTTCTTAGGACAGAATGCCGAAGACAGAACAAATTCTAAATGTCCATTGCGTAGGGAGGTGAACGGTATCCATTATGAACACGACGGCAGTGAAGCTTCCCAGTAAACTGAGATAAATTTGAACAGAAACGCAATATGGGATTGGTTAGTATGGCAATGAAATATTTTGGTGCATACGAGTGTACTGCGTAAAAATAACAAACAGTGAACAGGTAAAGGACTAGCAGACACCTAAATGAAGACCAATCTATACAAAAGCTATAAGAACAGAAATGTTAACAATAATACAACCATAATGATGTTGAGAGATTTGCACAACCCCGGACAGCAGATGTCTGTGGTGAGGAACGAAGGCACTACTATATGGGGACTAAAGGGCTCACCACCACACCATGCGAGTCCTTCGTTTCGCCTGTCTATCGGCTAAAAAAACTGTAATAGGCAGCAAATAAAAAGTTAACAGTAATTCGTAAAGTAGTGCTAGCTGTATGAGAAACCCTCAGCGACCAGAGAAAACAAAATGGTTGGAAACCATCTTAATACTATGACCATTAGCTTATGTTTACGGAACGGAGCATTGAAATAGCGTGAGACATCTCCAGCTGTCTTTAAAACCTCCTAGTGAGAAACATCTAGGTTTCAATGGCCCAAATATGACACAGGCAGAGCCCAAATCTTAAAGTGGAAGACCTGAGCACGAATGGAACGATGACTGCCAATGTGTGTGCGCAGCACAGGGACCGACATCGATCGATCCCCGTTAAAGGGCCGCGATCACTCAGCGACAATTGGCTGTCGAGCAGACATCTACCCGCCTAAGGGAGGCTGTCTGCGAGAGCCCGACGTGGCGTCGGCAGTGCTAAACTTGAAAGTCATAGAAGCAGTTGAACTGTTATTTCGAAGAAACAAATGACAGAGGTCAGTAATACTTACTTCGATGCTTGGATGGCCCGTCCTCACTAGTTGTGCGGGCCCCTGCTTAATTTCCATTTTTTTCCGAGCTTCAGTGGCTTTGCCATCTTGGTTCCCTGGAGTCCCGATATCAGCCTAGGAAGTCTACAATACTACCCCGAAGGACGTGATCAAGTTGAGGATTCACTGTTTAGTCATCGTATACTGTTCAGAATGTAACCGTTAGCCACACTGTAAATCCTGATGAACACCGGAGTGTCTTCAAACTACCAGCAGATTTCACTCCATCTGGGAACACCGCACCGTATAAATATAGCGGCGAAGAGGAAAATTTCAAAGAATTCCACTATTACTGAGATATAACCCGGCAACTTTTTAAGTACGTTTCCCTCTTAAGGGCTGTAGAATTCGATGTGAGCATCTTCTGAATATCATAAGGCCGCACTTTTTCGTACTACACAGTATAAAAGACCATTTCGTGTGAAAGCAAGTACCTTCTATCACAGAGATATGAGACCGAGATCTCGTCCTAAAAGAAGTGCATGATCACTATGGCGACGTACTATAGGAGACTGACAAGTAGAACGTTTGTGCATATGGTGAGGAGTGAGCGCTGCTACCAATTGGAAACCTCCGCCGCTTGGACTTCGTAGAGATTTCATAGTGGAAAAGTGGAATATGGAACATGTGATTTAGCACTCAATTCGTCTGAGCCAGTAGGTTTGTGACACTGGCGGAAAGGTGCTCGATGCGGAGAACGGATTGCTTCCCATCGCCTCTGCTCGCCGATCTCTGCTAACATTTCAACCTTCACGACGAGGCGACACTACAGAATAACAGAAGAGAAATATTTCGTGCGAGCAAAGAGAACCTCACATTGGCCTCATCGTGGCTAGAGGTGTTCCTGGGAGTCTGGATGCGATGTATGGCAGATTGTCCATCCCATAGCAGGGCCTCCCAAACTGAGGAGTCTGACGTTTCCATCCGGAATCGAATAAACCAATACCAGGAATCACCATCGTCTTGGAATCAGACTAGTCACATGGTGACAAATCTCCCTCTGATCCGCGAAGACGGCGACTGCGTGGGTGGTGACGAACTGAGGAAGGTTTCGGCTAGGCTGAGCTCGGGACTCTAGGGAACCGCAGCGGCTGAATCAGCAATACTCCTGCCTCGGTATCCGCACACTGGGCGCTCCTGTCTACGACGTCGAGCGGTGAGACAACCGGTAAGAAGCGATCAAAGCTGGAGTTGAAAGTTCAAAGCGCTGAACGTCAATGGAAACGGACAGAGCGACCATACCCACGACACGCCGTAGCGACTGCTTCTTGCTGTACACCAATAACACCAGAACAGTCTCTTCTGTCGCCAGTCTTCACAATCTTCTTAAGGCCGCTGGTTGCATCGAATCCCATGTCATGATCTTCTTACAAGAGACGAACAGCAGAGAAACCGACATACGCCAATTAAATAACGAAACCCTTCTTATTCGTAAAGAGAAATTACCGTTATGAAGTGTCCGAGGCATTGGTTTCGTCGAACACCCATCTATATCCCACCTAGCAACTTCATACGAAATCCTATCACCTCATTTGGCTATTTCTTGTTCCTAACTTGTGCGCAAAAAGAAAGTCGATTTCATCAACTGTTACTAACCAACATGTACAACTGCTGAGAGCGAACTGGATCCGTTCTAGAATCAGATGGAAGGAGAAATCCACAACGAGAAGTATAAAGTCGTTGTCGTAGACTTCAATGCCAGATTGGGAACGGCGGGCGAGAACGAATACAGGATATGGAAATTCGGAATAGAAGAACGAAGTGAGAATGGGAACCGTGTTATAGGGCTTTTGTCCGCAGCACCTCTCTTCCATGGGAATTCATTTTTCGAGACGAGAGACGGTCGCTGATAGACATGGGAGTCTCCTAACTGCATGGTTCACGCGGAGATCGACCATACTCTCACGAACAGAAAATGGTACATCTTTGACACCTCAGTGGTCCCAGGATTCTACACTGGATCTGAAGACCGCCTTCACCGTGCATAACTTCGATTCAGCCATAACCTGAAAGAGAATTATTGTAACCGTCCAAGAAAAACGAAACAAGCCGTGTATCCCAAGGATACCCTCAGTAGAATCCTTCTCTCACATAACTGGCAGATAAACGAAGACCCTACCGTGAATTATACGCTGCTTGTCGAAGGACTTAAAACTTGTGCCGAACACGCCTCAGTTCCTCAAACAAGAAGTTCAGACTGCGTCTCCATTACCACTAAGCAGTTGCTCTAAAAGAGGACACTAAAGCTTAATCCTACTGCCGCACAGCTAGCACGGCTGATAATGAATGTCAGCTGCAGAAGGTCTTTGCTGAAGTATTTACATCCCCATAGGCAGAAAAAGTTATTGGAAGCAACTCAAAAACGATCAATTCCGAAGAATTGATGTCGGGATCTTTGCAACTATGATACTCCGCTATCCGCCTTGAGGAACGACGATGTGACCATCAATACACCACGTCACGATATGCAGTTGCTAACGCAAAAGTTCGACACCAATCTTTCCCGCACCACAATCTCCGTCTCCGACCCCAAAATTCCTGCTGGTGAAAAGCCACCTGCAATTCTCTCTGAGGTTCTCGTTGCGATAAAAAGTAAGAAGAGAGGCGCAGCTTCAGGACCCGGTAAACACCGCCGATTTCCTTAGAGCTGGTGGCTACAAATTACATGTACTTCCCGTAACACATAATATTTTGCTTTCGGAAAGAGAAAATTCCCGACCAGTGGAGGAACCTGCGCACGGCAATCACCCAAAGAAGGTGATCGAAAGGATCTCTTGTAGCTACTGTCCAATATGCTTGTCTCTAGGAGCTGTTTATGAAGGTGATCCTTCTAGGCATATCGAAGACCATGGATGAGCTATAACCAGTTGAACAAGCCGGATTCCAACAGGGAGTCTGCTGCATAGACCAAATCCAAAGCGTACCATGGGTCATGCACGTCTGTCGAGAGTAGCATCTACCTGTTGCCCTAACTACATCGACTACGAAAAAGAGCTTGATAGCGTCGAAATGAATGCAATTCTACCAGTGCTCATTGGCTAAGGAGTGGGCCCGTCCTATCTACGAATACTATCAGACTATTATCGGAACTGCAGCCCAAATATTCAGCTTTTTCACCGACCTCTCACCGTACACATAGAAAAGGGGGTTTTGCAGGGCGACACAATGAAGCCCCTCGATTGGGATAAGAAGGGCATACGTACTGATGGGAAATTCCTGTCAAATCCTCGTTTCACGGACGACGTCGTAACCTCTTCGAGTACCAGTGAAACACATACGATGCTCAATTAACTCACCAAAGCGGAAAAAAAGATTGGACAGTACATAGCTAGGACGAAAACCCAGTTCATGAAGGACCGATGGTGAGAAAGGAGATGAAATCAAACTGGATAGTTTTCTGATTACAGAAACCACCCTGTGCGTGTACCTTGACGTTTAATGAGCATAGATAACATGAAGGAGGAATTAGGGTGAAAAAGAGAGCACCGTGGGCAGAATGCGGCCCACTCAAGGAAGCTTCCGACCAACTAACGGACTCCAAAACTCCGCACTCACCTCTTCTATTTGACAGTCCCCTCAGCGCTGTCGTACATCAGAGACATGGGCTCATCCCTCAACCATGCCAAGAATACTGCCTCCACCCACAGAGCGATTGAACGCTGTATTCTTAAAATTAACCGGAACTTACAACGCCTAGCCAGAATGCGCAGCTCCGATGTTCGTAACCAAGTCCATTTTCGGGATCCAGAGGTATAGACATCAAAGGCGAAACACAGGCAGGTTGATCAGATAATAAGAAGAACCAATGATAGATGGATGACAGGAACAGTGGAATGGACTGAAAGAGATTGCAGGTGTCCTCTTGGAAGAACACCCAAACGATGGGCGGACATAATCGTGACTACCGTCAACCATCTGCACTCGCAGATGGCAACGATTTCAGGCTTAGAGAATGGGCCTCGTGGATATCACCATGTTCGAAGCAGACCATCACCATGTACAATGATTGCGCGACAAAGAGATGAGTGGAAATTTTGCCGGGGTCCGCACAACCAGTGAAGAAGGGTCAAGTATCTAAGCAAATGAGCCTCCTTTTGCCGCTAGAAACATTATTCGGGCATTCTTCAGCACATTTTATTACTCGTGGCCTGTACTTCACCACAGCAAATAAACTGAACGTCAACAGTTATTGGATGAATGTGTCTAAAACTGGATAATATTGCTATGGAAAACTGCATTTTGCTACGACTGAAGATGTTCGGAATGGTCGACGTAGCCGCCCAGCCGCCCACAATAAGATTTTGTAGATGTGGGCACTCACACGTGACTTCCTTATGATTCTCATTCCAACAGCCGAGAACCACTGTAGCTGCAGTTCGAGCTCAAACCGCCAATTCTTCGATGCTCTACTGCCACCTCTTGCTTGGATGCTAACACGATTCTCCGTGGAGCGGAATTTTGCGTCCCACGTCCTTCATTTGACGCCTATTTTTACTACTAGTTAGGCTGTTATTCATTATTTTTATGGTAGTGCTCTTATGAGAGAATTGCTATTGTTCTGTCAAATTTATTTGGTAGGAAATAACTTGAATCGTAGAAGAAAGCTCTGTATCGTCTAATGGATGTCCATACCCCTTTGAATGAGTGGATTTTTGAATTCTTTGGCTGTATACTAAGCAACTTTTCGCGTTCTACACTAGATTTCCTTTCTGGGTAGTATATCGATTGGTGTTGTTTGAATTATTTTTAGCAATCTATGGCAAGTGTTCCAACCTTTGAATCCAGAAAGTTTCTGCCACTTCATGAGAAATGGCTGCTCGTACCAGCTTTTTTGAAGGTAGGAAGTAATAGCTATAACATAGCTCAGCATTACTATGTGCCCTTTGCAGGTGCGTGGTCTTGTTAAGCAGCACATCGTCAGCTTCGACTACTTTGTGAATGAGGAGATTAAGACGATTATGTTGGCAAATCAGAAGATCACCAGCGATGCGAATCCGAATTTTTACTTGAAGTTTGTTCTTCCCGGTCTCATTGTAATAATCTTAGCAGAGAAAGGCTTAAGAACCAGAGTCGTCGGTTTTTCCAGCTGCAAAATCACGTTATAATTCTAGATATCTTGACATCCGCGTGGGGAGACCTTCGGCTGAGGAGGGTCTTAACATGGTTTGTTGACTTCCACTGGATTAAGAATATTACTATAGCAGAATAGTTTTTTGCTTACTTCTAGGTTCATGACAAAATAACTCCACAAGAGTGTCGCCTAAGGGATATCACCTATGCAGCCCCAATAAACGTCGATGTTGAATACATTCGTGGTAACCAAAGGGTTATCAGGCGTGATCTAACCATTGGACGAATGCCCATCATGCTGAGGTCCAGCAAGTGCATCCTAAAGGACTTGGTCAGTGTTGGGTGATTCTTGATTCCGTTTGAGGAGTTTCTTGAAGAAATTCCATCGGTAGACGTTTCATCCTGTTATTTCAAAATTGAAGAGAAAGCTGCTAGTGTTTTTTGCTGTTTGATGGTTTTGCAGTTTTTGTAAGATTACTTTTTACCTATCGATTTAAAAGAAAACTATATTTCCAACTTATATCATACTGTATTTCATGTCATATTATACTTACTTGGATGGCTCGTCTTCATTGATTGTGCGGACCCCAGCATAAATTCCACTTTTTCGGAGTTTTGCTGGTTTAGCCATTGTGGTTTCCTCGAGTCCCGAGGTCAGCCAGGCTAAAGTCTGCCCCAGGTCGTCACCACCACAGGTACTCGGTGTTGCCACCATGCCACTAGTTTGATACCAGGACGGTGGTGGATCCTGGTATTACTTTACTCTTAGCTGGGCCTCCTGATGGAAACACTGGACTCTTTCTTAGCTTGGGAGACCCTGCCCCTGCCGGGGGATGAATACCCTCGCCGCTGTATATCAAACCCGGACACCTAGGAGAACCTCCCAGCCGCGGTGAGGCGGTAAACCATTGGGAGGGTATTATACTAAATACATTATATATATATATATATATGCATGTCATGTATATTTACATATAGGTGTACATATACATGTTTATATATATGGATGTATGTATACTACACATGTTGCATACACATGCTGTATCATTATAAACATATATGTATGTATGTATACATATGTGTATGTACATATATGTATATATACGTATGTACGTCTATATATTATTTTCGTTAAGGCCGAAGAAGAACTAGCTCGCGTTCAAGAATGCCCTTATGATCCTGGTGGTTACTTTATCATCAAAGGTTCAGAAAAGGTTATACTGATGCAGGAACAGTTGTCCAAAAACAGGATCATGATCGGTAGAAACTCAAACAAAGATCTCCAGTGTGAAGTAAGTGGGTTTACATAGTCTCTCAAAGTGCTTCGTAAGTGAACGTTTCTCTCGCATTAAATCAAATAGGTTCTGTCCTCAACTTCGGAAAAGAAGAGCATGACTTATGTCATTGCTAGGAGAAACAAATACTGGTTACGACATAATCAACTAACGGACGACATTCCTGTTGCTTTTATATTCAAGGTAGCTTTGGTTTCCTTTCTTATGTTTGCTTAATGTTCTTTTTCACATGGATATTCTAGGCTATGGGTGTGGAATCTGAGTACAATATAATAAGTGCGATTGGTTTAGAAGAGAAGTAAGTTCCATGTTAAACGATAAAGATGGATTGTCTGATTTATCTGTGTCTTGTGGTTCGGATGACATGAAAAATGCAGATATGTTGTTGCTTTCGCAGCGTCTCTCGATGAGTGCTCAAAGAACAACATCTTTACGCAACAGCAGGCCGTGAACTATATCACATCTAAGGTAAACCTGCCTATTTTTATTTTTTTAAATTTTTTTATTTGACCTGTATTCGAGCCTAATGTGCGGATCTCAACACTTCCTATTCGATCCGTTTCCTCCCATCCACTGTCCACGAAGATCGTCCAACCTTTACCTGTGGCTTCAGTTGCTGCTTGAGGATTTTCGTTTTATCTAGAATGTCGTAGAATTCCGATCGAGTCGATTCTGTCTGAAGTCCTGAGATAGCTGGGCTGGAGCGTTCCCAATTGGATTGCAGAGAGTGGTTTTTTGCCGGACAGGTCTAGTACCAATTTTCCGACCCCGGAGGGATGAGAGGCTTTGTTGCTTCGCAGCGAAATCGAACAAGCACATTGCTCGTGATGACTGTCATCACTGTATGATGAACCTACCTACTTTTAATGGAAATTGAACAGCTGTTCTTTACTTATGTGTACTTTTGTTCTGTTAAAAGTTTTATTCCTAATTGTTCAGGTGAAAGTTCGGAAACATGGGTTTCCTTACGGAGGTTCTTCATCGTCTAACATTTCTGCTCCAAAAGAACATGAGGCGGTTGATTTCTTGTCGACGTAATATTTTATTCTAGTAGAAACTTTTCATGAAGAACTTAATTGGATTTATTCAGTTCCATGATCTGCCATATTCCTTGCAACGATGGAAATTTCAAAATGAAAGCAATATTCCTCGGTTTAATGATTAGAAGGTTTGAATTTTCATTCACCACTTGGCCCTTCAACGTACATATAGAGCTTTCCAGGCTTATTCAAGCAGAACTAGGTGAATGTGACTTGGATGACCGTGATTTCTATGGAAATAAGCGCCTGGAGTTAGCTGGTTCATTGTTGTCACTTTTGTTCGAAGATGTGTTGAAACGATTCAATAGCGAACTGAAAAGGGTGGCTGACAATTCTTTGGGGAAAACTCTAGCTGCGCCACTTGACATTGTGAAACATATGCGACAGGTATATTCTTTTAATAAATGGCGATTTAAAGATTTCGAAATTGTGTTTTTATCTCGAAGTAGTTTAGAATAACTCACTTTCAACGTTTCAGGACTTAATAACCCATGCTATATCGAATGCCCTTTCCACTGGAAATTGGATTATCAAGCGATTTCGTATGGAGCGGCATGGTGTAACTCAGGTAATGGGTTTTACAGTAATAATGTAAATCAGGTAATAATGGGCCTTGTTAAAAAAGAGGCTGATAGAGATCAAAAGAGCAGTTATTTTTGTTTTATAGATGTTTCTAGTTATAGGTACTTAGTCGTTTGTCGTACATTTCTGCTTTGGGTATGATGACAAGGATCAACTCAACATTCGAGAAGACTCGAAAGGTGAATATATCTTGATCGTGATATTCGTTAATAGTGGAACGTTTTTCCCTTATTCTTTTTTTTTGCACACGAAGATTTTAATAGAAAGCGGAGTTCTGTAGTTGTGTGAGATGTAGAAAGCACGTAGGATTTTGTTTATTAATCGACTTGGAAACCTTTACATGTTATTGCGTGGTGCTCGCTATGGCGAACAGTACACAAAGAGCTTCTAGGTATCAGGTCCGCGCTCACTTCAACCATCTCAATGGGGAATGTTGTGCCCCAGTGATACTCCTGAAGGAGAAGCATGTGGGCTCGTGAAAAATCTCGCTCTGATCTCACACATAACCACAGATTCTGACGAACGAGTGAGTGATTTTTTATAATTTATTGTTTTTTAGTAAGCTTACTCACATGGTTATCGTTGTTGCGGTGTTTAATTGCAAAATTTGACCTTTCGGCGAATGTCACCTTTTCCTGAGCCTAGAATGGTTAAGTTGACTGCAACCTAGTCAGCCAAATACCTCTATAATCTCAAAAGAAAAATCGCAATACCGAGATTTCGTCGCATTGCGAACAAAATAGCTTCTTCACTCCACCGCCTTCAACTAGTCCTCCAATGGATGTTTTACGTGGAGTGTCGCAGAGTTTGTATGGATTGATAATGCGCCTCTCTCATTTTAAAATAAGTATGAGATATTGTGAGACCACATATAAGAACAAGGCATTCGTCCGTGTGGTTCTTTTTTGGATTCTTGGAGTCTATGCAGGATGCTTATGCTTAATTTCTTATACATAGTTTTTAAGTTAGAAAAGTATAGACAGCATTTTTCAATCTTCTCCAATAAACTGGCTTTTTTTCAGCAATATGTAGTGATAAGCTGGAAGGTTCTTATATGGTATATTTATAGTTCTCAGTCATTTTTAACACCTATTTGTTGAGGTCTTGTTTGGTTCATCCATGGATTCTGCACATCTTACCGTATTCATTTCGCTCATATTCTGCTGATTAGGTAAAACCGTTTTTCAGGCTCCCAAATAGGTTGCCTGTGATTTTCTACATTGCTACTACACCTACTAGCTTAACGTTTTGATAGGATTATGGTTCACCACTTCTCCTTCAGGTTTTTTCCACAACGGTGTTGATATCTGAAATTCACTTACTCTTAGTTAGAATTCCAGAGAATAATGTCGAAACCTGAGTAACATTACCAAGAAGCTAACCCTCGCTATTCACTGGAATGAAATCAGGAATATCCTTAGCCAGAGTCAAGCTAAACACCACTTTTTTTCTCATTCCGGTTTTACGTATTCCTTTTTTGATATTCGGCTTGTTAATTATCAACAGTGTTTCAGCCGGTGCTTCGTCTACTGTTTAATTCCGGTGTAGAGGACTTGCAGAATATGCACTTTTCCCACATAAATAATCCGTGAGTTTCGGCGGTATTTACTTTAAATAGTAGTTACCAATCAATACATTGTAATAAATGTGAATTTTTATGGTCAGAGTGGTTTTACGAACCTTTTAAACGGATGAAGGAAATTATCGACAAGGAAATTTTTATTGTTTACTGAAACGCTGACTTCACTCGAAATGGCAAAGTTCTTTGCTAATAATTAGGTTTCGGTGAGAATTCTCAACGATATGTCCACAGTTGAGTGGTGTTCGGAAAGTCATTGAACCAAACACAAACTCTTCTTGGGTCTGCCTGGTTTTCTAGCTACATTGAACGTTTGTTTTAAAGTGAGGATATTTGTTTCAGTAGTTATCACCAAGTGTTTTTGAACGGTCTTCTAGTTGGGACAACCTTAGATCCTGCCCGTGTCGTGCGTGCTGTGCGAACAGTTAGAAGGTAAATTGTTGTGAGACTTTTCCATGTTCAAGAACTTGTTTTATTGATTTGTGTCCATACATCCAGTGTCATACATCACTCGAAGTAACGATGTGTAGCAGTGAGCAGTCGTGCATTTTTCTCACGTGTTCTTTTATGTTGTACTTTCCTTTGCTATTGAATTATATGGCCTGATATTTATGATGCAGCCCATTTCTTTCCGTGCTCCACTTGGATAAATTTTCGCTCTGTTGATTTTTGTGATGTGTTTCTATATTTTCCTTTATTGGGTGTTACACTATTAGTTTAAATAATCAAGCGTCATCTATATACTATTAGAAATTTAATATAGAAGAAACAACAAAGGTTAGTTACAAGTTCTGTTAAGGTGTGCCTCTTTTATTTCCAGAAGTGGTCTACTATCGGAGTTCGTTTCCGTTTCAAGATCGCTTCCTTTACGTGCTGTTTATATCGCCAGTGACGGCGGTCGTCTCTGTCGGCCATACCTCATTGTGGAAAATGGAGAAGTGCTCCTGCAACCTCATCACATACAAGTGTGTCAGCTTTGAAGTGTTCATACGCAGTTCTCAAATCCACATTTAGAAACTGAAAGATGGACAGCGGATTTTCGAGGATTTTGTGGACGATGGATTGGTAGAGTATTTGGATGTGAATGAAATGAACGATGCAAATATTGCCGTTTACGAGACGGATGTGAACCCGAAGACCACCCACCTAGAGGTCGTTCTCATACATACAATGGCACACTAAGTTTTTTTTGAATCTCATATTTTGCCCTGTATATTATATTTGTCCCGTACTGTATATTTAAATTAGGCACATTTATTTTAGATTGAGCCGTTCACTCTATTAGGTGTTTGTGCTGGTCTTATCCCGTATCCACATCACAATCAATCTCCAAGAAACACTTACCAATGCGCTATGGGTAAACAAGGTTTGTCGCTGTTTTATGACCGTTTTATCATTTTGTGTTTCACTGTGTGTATTTCTTCTTGTCTGACGATACTTGACTTTGTGGTTTAGCTATGGGAACAATTGGATATAATCAACAAAAACGAATCGATTCTATAATGTACTTGCTTTGTTACCCTCAGAGACCATTAGTGAAATCAAAGGTACGCGACAAAAATGTGGTACACCACTTTATGTATGTTGTAAAGTTCCAAATTACGTTGCGTACTTAACACATTCGTTGCTTTATGCATCGATTTTAATGCATGTGTGCTGGAAAGTGCTCACACATCTCAATTCTGAACGAGTGTATTGTATCTGAAATTTAATTGATTGAAGTGAGAATCGTCGGAATCTACAGGGATGAGCCTACTCTTTATTTTGCAGTAGTGTAAGATGTTATTTCCGTTTTCTTTATTGGAGCTCGTAATTTAAACAATGAAGAGCTGGAATAGTTAGTTGACCAGGAGAGCACGGTAGTATGTACCGTTGCGTTATTACCCGGCTGCGCCGATTTGGTGATAGCCGTACCACTTGTACCCCGATATCAGGTTTCGTGTGGTTGCCACGTCTATTCGACAGCTAATTTTTCGCCGTACAAGTTATTAGTTGAGACCATCTCTTGACGGCCGATAACTCATCCACATACCGAGGCATGTGTACCTTCTTTAGGAGCAGTCTTTGTGCTACGTTTTCACTACGAAGGAGATTTAGTTGCTGTGTGGCTCAGAGAAATAGTTTTATCATTTTTGATATTCCAGCCATTTATGTCCTCATCATCAATAGGTTTTTGTGGGGTGGTAAAAAAAATCTTATCAGGAAGAGAGTTAAATGCCTTTAGAGTGTATATATCCGCTCAGAGTGGTACAGCAGAATCTCACTTATAGCTTTGTTGACTTCTCAATAAGCAACACGTCAAATTGTCAAGGAGTGCTCTATGTTAATGGGCCAAATTTCTGTTTTCTTTACGTAAAGTTTAGTTTGTTGTGTGCTTACCTAATAAGTCTATTAAGCAACCTTCTTTCTAAAATTGTATTGTTTACCGAACTTTTCTAGACTATCGAGTTAATAAATTTCGAAAAGCTACCGGCTGGTGCTAATGGTATTATTGCCGTAATGTCGTACAGTGGATATGATATAGAAGATGCAATTGTTCTTAACAAGGCATCTTTGGACAGAGGTACAAATCCTTCTTGATTTCTTGTTAATAATGTTTACTTTTTATTTATTACCTGTTATTATTTCTTCACGGCAGGGTTCGATGTGGCAAACAACCACTATAATGCTGAGATAAAACGTGGACCCCAGGTCAGATTCGGCAGGATGTAATATTAGTCACTTAATATAAAGTAAACATTGTGATCTCGGCTGCAGCGTTGGCTTAACTGGGTTTGATGCCAATCTGTGCTCCTCAGATCATTCCCATTCACGGGTGATTGATGATGGCTTGCATAGAAAACCGGCTGAGAGAAAGGCAAAGCAAGGCCTGAGCAGTGCAGTAGATTGTGTTTACTTCACGCTATGGAAAAGTTACGATTTGCTTTGGTTTTGGATTCATCTGACGCTCTGTTCTTGTTTTCAATCTACAATCTATAATACATGAGCCGCTGGAAATGGTGATCATGGGTTTGAATCTTGGTGTCCAAATTTTGCAATTATCTCAGCATCATAGTTTTTGTTAGTAATCTGTAAGTGATCTTGAACCAGTATTTTCTTGATATATTCATGTGTACACCTCGTCCTTTTATGTAGTCTTGTGAGAGAAGTACTATTTTCAGGATACGGTAGATGCCTGGTCTATAAACATGCCAAGGGAACCGCTAGGAAATATCCAAACCAGACGTATGATAGACTTATGGGTCCTTCACTTGATCCAATCACAAGGAAGCCCATTTATAAGCACAGGGTATTACTGCTACTATTACTACTATTTTTTGCAACTAATTAACTTTATTTGCAGCAATTGTTACTATTCGTATTATTTCTTCACTTATTCAAAGCATTTATTCCTGCACAGTACTCCTCTTACCTCATATCTCTTAGTACTGAGCAGAGATTTAAGGGAAATATTTATCACGTAAGGTGATAGAATGAGATTTTTTCTGCAATTATTTCATGTTCCAGATTCTTTGATCACATCATTTATTGAAAAATATCCAGTTTTTCGTCATCAATGCGTTGAGTAATGGTGCTATTTTTTTTTAATCATAACGCGTTTTACTTCTTGTAGGTTCTCGATGAAGAGGGTATAGTTTTTGCCGGAGCTCGTATCTCTTCAAAACAAGTAATAATAAATAAACATATGCCGATAGTATCTCACGATGGCTTGTCTTCCAGTCCTCAAGGTACATTGATTTCAAGACCTTCAGAACCAGAAACCATTTTAATGGCGCTTTTTACTATCCCTTTTTACTCGTGGAAATATCCTAAGAAATTTGAACATTTTGGAAGTTTTGTATGATTAGATGCTATTTGTTGTTAGATATATCAAGTTGTAACTTCCATCTTACCTTCTGTTTAGTACCCGTTCCTGGAGTTCGCTCTGTAGAGTATAAAGATGTGTCGATTGCTTATAAGAATCCAATACCATCTTACGCGGAGCGGGTGCTTCTGACATACAATGATGAGGACGCTCACCTCGTCAAAGTGTTGTTGAGGCAAACGAGGTAGGTTTATGATTTTAGCTGCTGCTTGTAGAAATTTGTGGTGGTGTGGAAGAAATCACAAGTGTCACCGTCACACAATCACTGCACAAAATTGGCATGATATGTAGTGGTGCAATGCGCTTAAAAAAGGAACATTTTTCACAGCTGTGACTTTGTATATCTTTTGTCAAAAGTCACAGCATCAACCAATGTGGCACTTCATTTACAATTGACAGATTGCCGACTTGAAGAGAATTAATGCAGTTGCTTTCTCGATTTCTGTTTTTGTGTCGTGACAATGCTTGAATTGAAGTCTAATTCACTATCTTTATCGATGTTTTCCAACTATCTTTGCACTTGTGAGTCGAAGATCTGCCCGAACTCTGATCTTAACTTTATGAAACGTTCGATTCCTAAGGATTTCATAAGGAAACAGAACTGATGAAACTCAGTGGGCTTAAAATTTGTCCTATACGAGGGATAGAGAATGGTTCCGTAATCGAAGGCTTCCATACTCTAACGGATCGTTTTAGTCGAATACGTTACTAATTGTACGAGTAATCAAACGGTGAAGTATTGTGGTGGAAGAGACAAAGTCAAGCTCGTCTCCAGGGTTTCTCTTTCAAAGAGCTTCTTAGGTGAAATTGCTTTGCTTAGACTTCGGAGTCCATCCGCTGTTCACTGGGTAGCAGTGTCCAGTGCAGTATGATGTTAGTGTTCCGTAAACCGCATAAGAAAGTTTTTACGCTGCGTGGATACAGGAGGACGTACCGCCTATGGAGCATGAATTAGATTGGAAAAGATTCTCCTGAAGTGTTATATCACTTTCTTGCCGCTTTAATTCTTTTTCGCTGCATGAAAGCTCTGATGTAGTGATAGTATCTCGAGGTGAAAGGAAAGAGATCGTTTCAGGCGTCCAGAGTTAGGCGATAAATTTTCTTCACGACATGGACAAAAAGGTGTTTGCGGACTTATTGCACCTCAGGTAAGACACACAATTCCAATCCTTATTTAGCGCATTTGATCTTCGTATTAAAATTTCACTATACATCACCTGAAATATAACTGTTCCTTATTGTAATTTGCAGGAAGACTTGCCATTTAACGACACTGGGATGGTTCCGGACATGATAATGAATCCCCATGGGTACCCATCACGAATGACAGTCGGCAAATTGATGGAACTTATTAGCAGTAAAAATGCCGTGCTGAGTGGGCGCTATCACTATGGGACAGCGTTTGAAGGCGATCAAGTTAGTGCAACAGTTTTTTGAACATTGTTAAGACTATTTCTCTAAAAATGGGTTTGGGCACGAGGCAAAATGGCATGAGCTGTTTTCGCCCGTTTTCACATAATGAAAGAGTTTACACCAGGTGAAAGACGTTTGCAACGAACTGGCATCACGAGGGTACAACTATCTGGGTAAGGATATGTTAACAAGTGGAATCACTGGGCAGCAATTATCTGCGTATATTTACTTCGGTCCAATATACTATCAGAAGCTCAAACACATGGTTCAGGACAAAATGCATTCAAGAGCGAGAGGACCGAGGTATTCTTTTTACTTAACACATGTTAACTTTCTATCGTTTTCAATACTTCACAACTGTCCAGAATACTCGTGGAATTCTCAGTTTATGTGTATAATCTAAAAACAACACCTTGGCCGAAATTATGGTATTGCTGATTTGCTCGTTACCTACTTTCTTGCCTCTTGCCATTTTTGACATCCATTCAATGTTATGACTACCTAGAGCCGTATTGACTCGGCAGCCTACAGAAGGTCGTTCGCGTGATGGAGGACTTCGAGTTGGTGAAATGGAACGTGACTGTCTCATTGCATACGGAGCATCCATGCTGCTTATGGAACGCCTCATGGTTTCATCGGATGAGTTCCAAGTAAACATGCACATAGGGTTTTATACTTCTTCCATGTCGCCTGTTATTTTTCAGGTGGAAGTTTGCTCAGATTGTGGTCTGATAGGTTACCATGGTTGGTGCCAGTATTGTCGTTCTAGTAAGTCGTTGGCGAACATCAAAATCCCTTATGCATGTAAATTGTTATTTCAAGAACTTCAGTCAATGAATATTGTTCCAAAGCTCGATTTGGCTCGTTATGCATAGCAATATGAGCGTTGTTTCTAGAAATTTGTTTTCATGCTGACATTTGTCACAAATGAGACAGTTATTTTTTACCGTTTCGAAGTGATATAATGATTATTCCGTTAATTTTTATAGCTGTTGTTATAGTTTGTTTCCATGTTCTCCCTTTATTTGTTCCTGTTTTTGTTATTGTTTTTGGTTAACCTACTTTACTAATGGTAGTTTATTATCACACTTACTTTCTGCTCTGTATCGTTTGAGTATAGATAGAAAACTAGTTGAGAGATAGCCGAAACTAAGGACCCGCATGGTATGGTGGTGAATGCGTTAGCTTCCGGAAAAAGTAATAGCGTGTTCGTTCTCCACCGGAAACACCTGCGATCCGGAGTTTTGCAAATATTTCAGCATCATTGTCGTTCTATTACGTGAGTACGTTTTTTGTATCTCACACATAGCGCCCGAGATGAATTGTGTGCAATGCTCATAGTGCAAAAGTGATAGCTGTTTTCAACGCACATAACACCTGAAACATAATGGGTACACTGCATTTAATGCGCAGGTAATAGCTGCTTTCCACTTTAAACCAAAATATCTCGGGTCATGCTAAACGTTATTGGTTGGGACAAAAACTAGGATCTGTAGACTTTTACCTAAAAGCTGCACGCAGTTGTGTTTCACCAAGATCAAAAAATTCTGCTTTTTTTCTGCAGTCTATGAGACATATTTCCTAAGGCTGTTTTTCTGCGTCAAGGCTGGTGTTTCGGATACGAAGGCAAATGAACAAGTGCAGTTTAGTGCAGTGGGTACGGTGGTAGTCCTTAGTGTATGGTTGGTGTTTAGAGATGCCTCGCTTGTGCTTCAAACTTAGTGTTATTTACTTGGATATTTGGACGGTCCGTCTTCACGAGCTGTGCGGAACCCAGCACATATGCCATTCGTTCCTTTCTCTCGCAATCGTACTCCATGGTGGAGGTCTTGTTCGAACATGGTAACGCTTGCGAGTCTCATACCTTGATCTGAAAAGCAGCTGAGCTACGGGTACAGCTGATTAACTTTGTTTACAAACACGTCCGCCCAACGTGTAGGTGGTCGTCCTAGGGGACGTTTGGATTCTCTTGGAGTCCGCTCTACTGTTCTTTTCCTCTATCTGTCGTCGGCTTTTCTCATTATGTGACCATTTGTTTCCCTGTCGATTTATATTATCCTGGAGCTCGAAGATGTGACAGATTTCGAGGGTCAGAGCTTCACAGTCCGGCTACACATTGCGAGTGCCGGTTACATTTCAGAAGACATCGCTCAAGCGCTCTTTGAGTAGTCCGAAGCATTCTTGACGTAGTTGAAGTATCAACCTTCGTCTCCGCAGCATAACTGAGCGCTGGGAGGACCGAAGAATCAAAGAGATGAGCGCGGATTTTCTGGTCCTTCAGTTGGCCGCTGGCTTTGGCAGGCTCAAATGCGACCGAAGCTGCTCTCCTTCTTCTATCTAGTTCTTCCTTCATGTTGTTTTCCATGTTCATGGATCGCCCAAGGTAGAGACGTACGAGGTGGTCTCTGCAATGAGAGAGCCATCCAATTCAATTTTTTCGCCTTCGCACCATGGATTTCTCATGAAGTGGGTCTTCTTTCGATTTATGCGAAGTCCGATCTAGTACTTTTTGAGAAGATGACAATGTCGTCGGCAAAACGAAGGTTTGATAGGAGTTTTCCATCAGTATGTATGCCTTTCTCATCCCAATCGAGTGGCTTCATTATCCACTGTAGTGCGGCACTGAACAGCTTTCGCGATATTGTGTCGCCCTGTCGAACCCCTTTCCCTATGGGTATTGCAAGAGGTCGATGGAAAAACCGTATTTCTGTAGTGCAGCTCTGATAACAGCCAGACAGAGTCCTTATGTAGTACGGGTCCACTCCTTGGTCGACGAGCGCTGATAGGATTGCATTCGACACTCGACACTGTCAAACGCTTTCTCATAGTCGACAAAGCTTAGGACTAGAGACAAGTGGTATTCCCGACAACCTTCAATGACCCTGGACACGGTTTGGATGTGGTCCATGCAGCAAAATCCTGCTTGCTTGGATGGTTGCGCCTCATCCAATGTCCTTGATATGCCCGAGAGGATAATCTTCGTGAAGAGCTTGTAGAGTACACTTAACAAGTATGTGGGGCGATAGTTACGAAGAGCTCTTTGGTCTCCTTTCTTGGGCAGGATGACCGTGCGTGATGTCCTCCACTGGTCTGCGATTTTTTCCTTTTGAAGGTAGCCTGTCATATGATCTGCTAGAAGTACATGTAAATTGTGGCCTCCAGTTCTAAGGAAATTGGCGGTGACATTGTTTGGTCCTGGAGCTGTGCCTCTTTTCATGCTTTCCATCGCAACTCGAGCCTCCGACGGAAGAATTCCAGGTGGTTTTTCTCCAGCAGGGATATTAGGGTCCGCGATGGGGATTGTGGGACGGAAAAGATTGATGTAGAACGTTTCCGCTATTAGTTCCATATTATGGCGGGAAGTTTTGACGATCCCATTTTCGTTCATCAGGGCTGACAGCGGAACACTATAGTCACACAAGTCCGGACGGCATTTTTTTTACACTGCGTCTTTTCTCTGCTGCTTCCAGAGTTTCTTCTGCTTGTACCGCCGTAGATCCTCCTGCAAAGTTCTTCTGCAGCTGACATTTATTACTAGCCATGTTAAACCTGTTGCAGTAGGATCAAGCTTCAGTTTCCTTCTTTTTTCGAGCAACTCCTTAGTAGTGATGTAGATGCGATCCGATCTTCTTGCTTGAGGAAGTGAGGTGAATTCGGCACAGCTTTTCAGTCCTTCGACATGCGGCTCGCAGTCTTCGGTCGTGTCTTCTTTAATCTGCCAGTCACATTTGGGTAGGACTTTGTTCAGAATGTTTCCGTCGTATACAGCTGGACTTTTTCCTCGTGGTCGATGAAGAAAGCTGGTTTCCAACTTGCGGCTGAATCGAATCCTCGCGCAAAGAAGGCGGTGATCGGAACCAGTACAGAATGACGGGACTACTGATGTGTCAAGTAGGCACCATCTTCTGTTTGCCAGAATGTGGTCGATCTCCGCATGAGTCATGCGGTTAGAGACTTCCATGTTGAGCGGCGGCTTTCTTTCTTCTGGAAAAACGAGTTTCCATGGAAGAGACGTGCTGCTGACAGGTGTCCTGCGAGACGGTTCCCATTCTTATTTCTTTCTCCCAATCCAAAATTTCCGATCCTGTATTCGCTCTCGTTGGCCTTTCCTATTCTAGCGTTGAAGTCTCCGTCAACAACTACTGCAACTGATAGTAGAACGCATTTAATTCGTACTAATCAGCTGCCTCGGTCGGTGGGTAGCAGTTGATGATAGTGATCTTCTTATGATGCGACAGTTGAAGACGGAGGACAGCTATACGAGGGGAAAGGATCTCGTATGAGTCGACGAGATAGACAATGGACGGGTGGACGACAAAGCATACGCCACCGACATTACGTGACGGGGCCTTTTCTCCACGGATCACAAGGGTCCCGTTGTTTAGTTGGCCTACGTCGGTTTTCTTCGTTTTTGTTTCTTGTGATGGGATCACATGGAATATAAGGCGGTCTGCGGCTACAAGAAGGGTGTGAAGATCGGCGCCTGTGAAGAGTGTTCTGGCATTATACGTGCATAGTGAGAAACAGTCTCCATGGCGCGTCGTGCGTGTGTTCGTCAGATCCGGTTCCAATGACGTTCTGCGCAACCCGAGATTTTCTGGCCACTCACCGGTCCATCGCCTGGTGTCACAGACGGGAGCATCCAGTGTGCGGGATATTGAGGCTGGCCTATTGCTGGTCGTCCTCCCTGGAGTCCTGACGTGACCTTGCAAGAGCGTATCCAATTCTTCACCACGATGCCGATCAGAGGGAGGTGTGTTCTCAGCGACAAATCTGTCGCTCGGTCTTCCTACTATTTGATTCCGAGAGATGTTAGAACCGAAATCAGAAACGAATGTAGGAATGAAAAAGTAACCGACGGTTCAAGGACGATGTAGAAGCTGAAGGCAAATTGTCAGAGTTAGATCTGATTTTCCATTTCTTAAATAATTTTATATCCATAATATTATAGAATATCCAAATTTGGGAGAATAACGTGCAAAAATTACATTCTTAATCAAGCCGAAGGAGTAGATCTATGGATTTGTGTGGAGCTGAATCTCTCAAATGCGTTAATAATCGATCGCAGGATTATCACTGGCCGGGGGAGAACGAGCTCGCCCGTTATATGTTCGTATTGTTTGGGTATGGGGGGCGGATAACGCAGTGGTAGTGATGTCGGTTATCACGAACATGGTACCAGTTCGATTCCACTTCGGGTTAACCAAGCCCTTTCATCCTTCCGAGGTCGAGAAATAGGTATCTGACTTGTGCGGGGAAAAATCACTGCAATCCAACTGGGATGGCTACAGCCAAGCTATCTCAAGACTCCAAGGAGGATCGACTGGACAGGAATTCTATGACAATCAAGATGAAATGAAAATCTTCAAGAAGTAGCCGAAGCCACACATGAAAGTTGGAAGATCTTCGTGGATAATGGATGCGAGGAAATGAACCGAATGTGAGAAGTGCAAGGATCCGCACAGTAGGCGTGAAGACGGGCCATATAAAAATAAAGTCAAAAAAGTGTCAGAATGACACCGAAACAACCTAGTTTTCGTCCACACATATCATATGAATCTATTAACGCGAACCCTTTATGCGAGAAATAACCTTCCTTGCAATCGAGCACCTGTGAAGCACTGCGTGTATCTGGTAGTTTAGGTATTCCCACTGGTGGTTTTTTGTCTTAATAGTCCTAAATTCGCCTTGCTTTTTTTGAATCTCTTCTTTTGCGGATGATCAAGATGAACTTTACCAATTTGAAAACTAAGATGTTCGCGCTCTGATGCCGGGATGAAACATTCTACTCCGTCCAGAGGGGCATTGTGAGTTTGGTCATTCAGTACTTGGATCTGTTGGAGAGCGATGTCTACCCGCTTCCATATCAGATCAT